AGGAAACGATAAAAAACTGGCTCCCCCCCACCCCCCCCGGACCCCCCAAAATGATTGAGTTGGGCGGACTAATAGAATTCAGCCGCCGGAAACTGTTTTTTAAATCGTCCGTCCCCTGGCGTTTGCTTTTGTCCCGTTGGGGGAACTGATTTTCTATTCGTTCTCCTTTGCTCGCTTGATCACCCGCGGCCGCGGGGGGAGGATTGCGGAGGGGGGACGGGGTAATTAGGGAAGGGGTTTTCGAAGAGGCGCTTGATCACCCTTGTCCTTGCGGACGGCCGCCGGTCGTCCTTGCGGACGGCCGCGGCGATTGGGAGGTGGGGGATGAGGAGGAGGAGGATGAGGAGGAGGAGGAGGAGGAGGAGGAGGAGGAGGAGGAGGAGGAGGGGGGAGGACAAGCTAGGTGCGCTCGCATCATATATGACAGCCTACCCTTCTCTCCCATCCCTTACCATGCTCCCCCTGCCCCCCCGTGCCCCCCCCCCCCCGTGGCCTTCCAGGCAATCCCGAATTGTCAGCCCCCCGTCTGCCTGCCCTGCCCCCCCGTTATTGCGGAGGCGAGGAGGCCCGCGAAACAATTATTTTAATCGTCCGCCCCAAAAAGTTGTTTTACTCGTTTCCTTCCATCACATCGACAAAATGTTGCACCACTTTTGCTGCGCATCGGCGCCTGTACTGCATTGCTCGTTCCCCCTGTTCCCCCGATCTTGATATTGGGCGCGCAGCCAGAAGCCCTTGGGCCGCCCAGGGGCTCCCGACTAAATGTTGCACCGCCGAGCTGTTTCGACCGGCACGGACTGCACCCAATATGAAGATCGGGGAAGGGGGGTGGAAAACAAACGCTTATAGAAAAGCGATGCGATTTGTTGTCCGCGCCAGGTGGTGCAACATGTTGCTGATGTGCTGCGTGCCTGTCCCCCCCTGTCGCTGCCCCTCGGGAAAGGGGGGGAGACCTCCAGGGGCTAACGCCGAAAACGAACAAAAAAAACAATGTTAGCCGGAGTGCAGTATCCCCAAACAGGGCTTTTAGACCCAATGCGGTTTCCAAGGTCGATTGCGTGCCCGTCCAGTGCGGGCTGGCCTGGCATGTTAAAACATGCCTCCTCCTCCTCCTCCTCCTCCTCCTCCTGCTCCTCCTGCTCCTCCTGCTCCTCCTCCTTCTCCTCCTCCTCCTCCACCTCCTCCTCCTCCTCCACCTCCTCTTCATCCCGAACGGCATCTCGGAGCCCAGAGTTTCGAGGATGTCTCCAGCGTAACGGGCTGGACCCCCAGAGTTGCGACGATGTCTCTGGCGAAACGTGCTGCGAGGAAGTCTCGGGCGAAACGGGCCTGACCACTTCGAGCGCGGCGTCTCAGAGCTCCGAGTTGCGGGGGCCTCCTGCGGCTTCCTGCGGCCTCCTGAAGCTCTCTGGGGCTTCCTGGGGCTCCCAGGGTCCCAGGGGGAATATGTAACATGTGGTCTTCTGGGCCCCCAGGCTGGACCACCTCTTGCGCAGCATCTGAGAGCTCAGAGTTGCGAGAATGTCTTGTGCGAAACGGGCCGGACCACCTTGCGCACGGCATCTCAGAGCTCAGAGTTGCGCGGATTGTCTCAGGCGAGATGGTCGGGACCACCTCGCGCAGGGCATCTCGGAGCCCAGAGTTGCGAGGATGTCTCCGACGTGACGGGCCGGACCACCTCGCGCGCAAGGATGTCTCAGGCGAGACGGGTCGGTGTCTCGGGCGAAACGTGCTGCGAGGAAGTCTCAGGCGAAACGGGCCGGACCACCTCGAGCGCGGCGTCTCAGAGCTCCGAGTTGCGGGGGCCTCCTGGTGCCTCCTGGCGCCTCCTGGGAACCTCCTGGAGTTTCCGCCTGGGCCTCCTGTGGCCTCTTGAACTCCACCTGGGGTTTCCAGAAACCTCTTGGGGCTCCCAGGGGGGATATCTAACCTGTGGCCGCCAGGGCCTCTCAAAAAAGAGGGGGGGCGACAAGAGCAGGAAAAATCAACGAATCAACACCGGATGTGCATTAACTTGACACGTTCTGATAGGGGGCCTCCTGTGGTCTCCTGGGAGCCTCCTGGGAATCTCCTGCGGACCCCTGGGGCCTGTCCTGGGCGTCCTGCGGCCTCCTGAAGCTCTCTGGGGCTTCCTGGGGCTCCCAGGGTCCCAGGGGGAATATGTAACATGTGAGCTTCTGGGCCCCCAGGCTGGACACCATCGTGCTCAGCATCTAGACTCAGAGTTGCGAGAATGTCTTGTGCGAAACGGGCCGGACCACCTTGCGCACAGCATCTCAGAGCTCAGAGTTGCGAGGATGTCTCAGGCGAGATGGGCCGGACCACCTCGCGCAGGGCACCTCGGAGCCCAGAGTTGCGAGGATGTCTCCAGCGTAACGGGCTGGACCACCTCGCGCGCGGCATCTCGGACCCCAGAGTTGCGACGATGTCTCTTGCGAAACGTGCTGCGAGGAAGTCTCAGGCGAAACGGGCCGGACCACCTCGAGCGCGGCGTCCCAGAGCTCCGAGTTGCGGGGGCCTCCTGGGGCCTCCTGGGGACCTCCTGGAGCTTCCTCCTGGGCCTCCTGTGGCCTCCTGAACTCCACCTGAGGTTTCCTGAAGCCTCTTGGGGCTCCCAGAGGGGATATCTAACCTGTGGCCGCTTGGGCCCCTCAAAATGGAGGGGGGGGCACAAGAGCAGGAAAAATCAACGAATCGACACCGGATGTGTATTAACTTGACACGTTCTGATAGAGGGCCTCCTGGGGCCTCCTGGGAGCCTCCTGGGAATCTCCTGGGGGCCCCTGGGGCCTGTCCTGGGAGTCCTGCGGCCTCCTGGACCTCTCTGGGGCCTCCTGAGGCTCGCAGGGTCCCATGGAGGATATGTAACATGTGGCCTTCTGGGCCCCCAGGCTGGACCACCTCTTGCGCAGCATCTGAGAGCTCAGAGTTGCGAGAATATCTTGTGCGAAAGCCCGCGGACGGGAACCACCTTGCGCACGGCATCTCAGAGCTCAGAGTGCCGAGGATGTCATCAGGCGAGACGGGCCGGACCACCTCGCGCGGGCATCTCAGAGCTCAAACGTTCGAGGATGTCTCAGGCGGGATCCAGGGTCCAGGGTAGGATATTGTAAATGTGGTTCTGGGCACCCCAGGCTGGACACCTCTTGCGCGGCATCTGGGAGCTCAGAGTTCGAGAATGTCTTGTGCGAAACAGGAGGACCACCTTGCGCACGGCATCTCAGAGCTCAGAGTTGCGAGGATGTCTCAGGCGAGACAGGCCGGACCACCTCGCGCAGTGCATCTCAGAGCTCGGAAGTTCGAGGATGTCTCAGGCGAAACGGGCCGGACCACCTCTCGCGCGGCATCTCCGAGGTCAGAGTTGCGAGGATGTCTCAAGCGAAACGGGCCGGACCACCTCGCGCAGGGCATCTCAGAGCTCAGAGTTTCGAGGATGTCTCAGGCGAAACGGCCCGGACCACCTCTCGCACGGCATCTCGGGGCTCAGAGTTTCGAGGATGTCTCAAGCGAGACGGCCCGGACCACCACTCGCGCGGCGTCCTGGAGCTCAGAGTTTCGAGGATGTCTCAGGCGAAACGGCCAATCCCGGCCAAATCAGAAACGAGAGTTGTGAGGATGTCTCAAGCGAAACGGCCCGGACCATCAAATTTTTGTGAGAATATCTCTGCTCCGACTTCCTTCGGCCGGAGTTAGCTTCTATCACAACAGCACCCCGTTCAGTAAGCTGTTTGGGGACAAAAACACGACGTCGGGGGTCCTGGGCCCCGTTCCCATCCCGACGCGGCGTGCACGCCCTCCGAGCTTGGTCCGGGGGGGCACGCACCCATCAGGAACTATATTCTTGGGGGGCACAGCTACAAAAAAAGCGCAGCCGCCAAAACAAACCATTTTGGGGCGGGGCTTCCGCGGCTCATTTCACGCGGGATGTCTCCGGCCGAACCGACGAAACCGTTTATGTTTGGTAAGTGTTTACACGTATTGCAAAAAAAGGGGGTGCCGTATGCCATTTTTCCGATCCCCTTCCGGGAGTGGTTGAGTTTTTGCGTCATGTCGGAAAATCCCAAACTGTTCTGTTTTGGGCGCGTTTCCGGGCCTATTTTTAGCAGCCGTGCCCTTGGGAGCTTCATTTGCTAATCATGAGCTTCTTGGCCATGGTCAAGTCGTGCATGTCCCTCTAGGGCAGGGTCGGTGTTGTGGTCAATCGACGTTCCCCGATCTTCTACCTGACCAACCAGAGCAACAAGAAAAAGGCGACCGACTCGTGGAAGGTGATCAGCTCGACCATCTCGATCTTCTCCGCCGTGCTCCTGTTCCAGGGCATCAGCGGCATCGTCGACGCGGGGCTGCTGGTGGGCGCCAGCAAGCCAGCCAAGCTCGCCGTATCTCTGGCACACATGTTGGTTTGGCTGGTATCCACAGCGCTTTGCGACACCACCTCCGGACAGGCTGGGGTTTCACGGAGCAGACGATGCCATGTGTGTTCTCGTGGGCCGACGAGGGGCCGCATTCAGGCAGTTTTGTGCTGGTTGGGCGCGCTGGGGCGCGTTTTGTTTGGCGTCCACTTGGGCGTCCTGGGGCAACCTGCAGCGGCCTGGACGCTGAGGCACGTTCTCAAAAGTTGGTGATCCTTTGCGCTTCGGGTCCGGCTAGTGGAGAGCAGAAGTGGGGCTGGGGTTTCGAGGCAAGCAAGTCTGAGCAGGACGCCTGGGGCCTGGCGGCCACGGTGTGCTCAGGGGGCTAAGGCGGCTCGGGATTTCAAAACCGCGGCAAAAGGAGACAAGACAGCTGTCCAGCAGGATATTCCACAGCATCGCGCCCCCACGGGGGCCAGCGGTTTTCTTCAGTTTTTTCTTGCATATGTTTCGGGTGCTGTGGGGAATACGCCAGAAGAGACACCAGAAAACAAAAGCAGGGCCAAACTGAATGTAGAGTGTTTTGCAGTCTTACTTGGCCATATCAGTGGATTCGCTGCGATCAAAGCTTTCGCAACAGCGCAGGAGATGCTTCCCGTGGGTCCCCTGCACAAGTTCCTCGCCGTACCGATCAGTTGGGCGTGCATACATGTTTGGGGACAATTGTTTGATTACGTTCGGGAAAAAGTATGTGTCTTAGACGATGGCGAAAAGGATTTCTTCGAGGAGCTGTGGGATGACATGGCCGAGGAAACGGAGGACGACGTGATTGGCCTCACAGCCTCGTTCTTGACAGCGCAAACTCTCAGATACTCGATCACAGGCAACATGCCCAATGCAGAGGGTGATGAAGCACCCGCGCTGGTCGAAGGATACTCCAACTGGAATGTGTCCTGTCTCATTGGCTGGGGATTCGCCATGGTCATTATAGAGGGAGTGCGGCTGGCCTTGATTAAGAAAACGTTCAAGCGATTCACGCCCCAGTTGCAGAATGTCATGGCCATGAACATGGCCTGGAGTCTGTTTGCTGGCTCTTCGCTCTCTGCCGCTGCACCCCGATGTGTTGTTATCAGGTGATCTGTTGGGCGGCCCAGTTGCGCAGAGTTTTGAGGCGATGTGAGGAACAGCGTGCCAGGGTCTCAGCGGGCGCCGCACGCGGTGGCGCAGAGAAGGGATATAGCAGGGGCAGCCAGGTACAGGAGCCCCGCACGTCTCCGATCAGAGGGACGTGTGCCTTTCGAAGCATTGCCTCTGCAAGGCAAGCGCAACACAAGTCACTGCAAATCAGAACAACGCCACGCAACGCAACACAATGCCAAGCACTGCAGCTCAATCCAGCACAAGATGAAGCTGGGGAGAACAGTGAACAGCAAGCAGCACAGTACCACGCACTTCAATGCAAACCAACGCACAGCAATGACACGCAATCAATGCAGTGCAAACCAATACAGTGAAAAGCCACCCATAGAACGCGGGGCATGCGCGACGCAGCACAGCAAGCAACGCAGACCGACCCATTCAGAAAAACAAACAAACAAAGAGCAAGCAACGCATGCGACTTCACATCAACCCGCTTTGCAACAACAGCACCCATGTGCGGCAGTTGGCGAGGTGCATACGAAACTTGAGGACACGTGGGTGGTTACTCTCCTGTCTGGTATATGCGGGCCTGGTTTAGTCTGGTCTGATTGGCCCTCTTGGTACTGAGGGGCCTCGCAACAGAAAACGTCCATAATATGTTACGCATGGCTGCTTCTTTGTCTTCTGAGCTGGCCTGCCAAGACCCAGCAAGACGACACGGAGCAATACGACCACAGACGCGGGAGGCGCAGGTTAACAACCACACCATGTCTTAGAGAATTGACGCATGTTCATAATGGGTAGCATCCCGAGCATGATGATTGACGCATTTTTCCAGCCACGGGCACAGGGGGGCAGGGGGAGGGGGGGAGGCTTCTCAGAAGCATCCCTGCTTCTTCGAAGGCGCGGGCCGCGCCTTCCAAGCAGCAGCCTCCTTCTAAGAAGCCTTCCCCCGCCCCCCCTACCCCCTTGTGCTCGCCGCCATCCGCGCTCGGGATCGTCTTCGTCGTCCTCATCGTCGTCGTCCTCCGCCTCGTCCTCCCCGTCGTCCTCCTCGTCGCCCCCGCGCCGCGCACGGGGCCGTCGTCGCCGTCGTCGCCGTCGTTGTGGATCGACCGAGGATCGCTCGATCGGTCTATCGAGGATCGGTCCCCCTTCCCCCTCCCCCCTCGTTCGGTAGCAAGCCATGAGAGCCTCGTGTAGCGTCGTAATTCTGTCTTTACAGTGCACTAGCGTCGACTAGCGCCTGGTGATCGATGAGATAGCCTCGGCTAGCGTCGATTAGCGTCGACTAGCGTCGATTAGCGCCCATTGGCACCGATTGGCGCCGATTCGCAATAGCCAACAAGAGTGTATGGGAGGCTCCCATGGGTTGTCCCAGAACCCTCGTGCGCTCCGCCGATCTTCATCGAGGGCATCCAGGCGCTACCGCTCCGGAGGACCTCGGAGAGGAGTGCGCCGGTCGCCCTGTGGACCCTAAGACTGGCCGCGAGAAAGCCCCTGCAGGCCCATGGTATAAGATATGTAAAGGCCTCCATCCCAATGCGAATGGAGTGACCTTGCTATCTGACACTTTTAGAATGCTCTGGACATGCAGTTTGCGGTTGTGCTCTAAAGAAAGCACGGGCGCTGTTCACTGTTCTGACCCCTGGGGGCCCTTACCAGACCTCGGGGCCGTGAAAAAGTGTCTCGGGACGACAAACGGGTCCTCGAGACCCCTGGGGATCGACGTCATGAACAAAGCATGGCGTCGGGTGTCTGGGGGGTCGCTTCCGTGGGGGGGGCTTTGTCTGGCGTGCCGGGTGCTGCCTTCCGAGGCGGGGATTTACACCCATGACCACGCCCGTGGGGTCGATGCTCGGGGACCTCGGCGGGCGGTGGCTCTGGATGTGCTGCGGCCCCGGGGGCCGCATTCTCGGCCCCGTTGGGACCCCCTCCCAAATGGGGTCCGCGCAGATGGGTTCGGAGGACAGCGCAGCATCGCAGATGCATCGGAGATGCGGCTCGATGCGGAGCCGGGTTTTCTCCGCGCAGGCGTCGCCGATGCACTGCCGACGTCGCCGCTGCACCGCCAAGGCATCGCCGATGCATCGCCGATGTATCGTCGATGCGGCGCGAGCCTCCCACCCCATCTGCTCGGACCCCATTTGGGCGGCCCCTGGAGAGTGTCTTGGCGTCCTCGTGGCCACTTTGGCATCCCGGGGGCCTCTCGGGCGCTCTTCGGTGCCTCTGGGGCCGGGCCCCCTCGCGGGCGCCTGCGGGGGGCCCCTGGGGCCGTGTTGGGGGCGGATGATGCCATCGGCAGGCGTCGGGCAGGGGGCCAGCCTCGGGAGCCCAGCGGGCTCCAGTCTGCGCGCTCGCTCCCGGATAGGCGCAGGTGCCAAGGAGGATCGGAGAAGGGCGCCACGTGGGGGCGGGGAGGCCGACGACGCCCGGGCCCGCAGCTGTTTCGCCCGAGACGCCCTCGCAATTGGTTCCGCTCAGTGCCGGCTGCATGTCTGGGCGGCCACGATTCTCAACAAGGAATCGGCGTCAGCCCAACATGTTAATGCTATGTGTGCGCCGCCCCCCTTGGGGCGACGTGCGCACCGAAAAATCTTATAGCATATCTGTCGTGGCGGGCGCTTTCTGGCCGCACCGCTCGGGACACGATCTACTACAATATGGGTATACTGGTATACTATATGTTCGGGTCGGACGCGCGCCTCCAAGGGGGATCTGCAGTGTCAGTATGCCCATGTGCGTCCAACAGCAGAAAAAACGCAGAGGTGCACACGTGGCCGTGCTCCCACCCCTGTCCCGGCACGTGAGCACTGGCCGATCTCCCACTCCTCGAGCCGCCTCTCCACCTTTGCTGCCGTTGTGTTCTTCGGAGCGTGACTGACCTACCCCGCTTTCGCTTCCAGGCAAAACCAAGTCATACCACGCGCCTCCTCGTCAAGCGGCCTGACCAGTACAGGCCGCAGTTTGGCATCGTTTGGTACCTCTTGGAAGCGAGGGTGGTCCAACGCGAGGTAGGTCTGTTTTCCCCCTAGTTCTGGTGGGGCGCGAGTCGTTCTGCCCCGCCCCGCGTCCTGGACCCGGGCCGTCGCAGGCGCTGCCCGGGGGCCCCCGCGCGGGGCCGACGTCCACGGGGAGGATATCCCCCCCCTCGCCGGGCAGGGGGAGGCAACGACCGAGCACTGCCCTTTTACCCCCAGTGCTCAAAGCTGGCACGCGCGGAGGAGGCTGCGGTCCAGGTGCACTCTCAGCAGGCCCGCCGCCAGCTTTGAGCACTGGGGGGAGGGGGGGAGGGGTCGACAGACGGATCTGGGCGCTGTTTTTTTCCCGAAGCCCGCAGGGCAGGGCCGCCCCCCCCCCTCCCCTCCAGGGATCTCAGAAAGACTGGAACGAGGGAACGTGGGCGGTTTCTCGCCCCCAAATCCCGACAGGCAGCGTGCGAGCTCGAGAGGGGGATGGAGAGGAGGAGGCACGGTGAGGCGGGAGGGGCCAAAAGGGGCAGGACCGGGAGCAGGAACGCGAGCGGGAGCGGGAAATAGGAGGTGGGGAGGAGGACGGCGAAGGCGATGACGAGACCGAGGACGACGGCGGAGGGATTTTCCCGAGTTCCTCGCGAAAGATCATACTCAGAGATGCACGGCCAAGGGGCCATTCGGACGTACCCATGTCGAGGGTGGACGTCCCCCCCCCCCAGGGATGGCAATGCCTGGAGCAGGGAGCTCGCAGGCGACTCCTCGTCCCCAATCGCGGAGTTCCGCCCGAAAGATTCGGTCGGGAGTTGCGCAACGGCAGGGAGAACAATGTGGGGATCCAAGCGAGGTGCACCTTCTCATTACCCTTAGGGGCACTCCAGGGGGGGGCACCCGGGGCCCGACGGGAGCCCGAAGGGGTGCACGTGTCTTCGCCCCCCCGTATATCACCCCCGCACGAAGCAGCGCCCGAGGGGGGTACACCCCCTCTCCCTCGTTCCCCCCCTCTCTCCCTCGTCTCCCCCTTGTTTTCTCCCCCACTCTTACATACCCTGTCCCCCTCCCTCCCTCCCTCCCTTCGTCTTCTATGCATCCCCCTCCCCCTTGCCACCCTTCCGCCCTTCCTCCCATGATCTCCAGGGCGGTCCGTGCCTTAGGTTCTTCACCATGCCGACGTTGTCGAGGCGTTCTTTCAGCTCTTCGAGGAACAGGATGGAGGGGGGCCTGTCCGGACGCACCACCCTTGCCCAGGAGGAACGCCCCCTTCCCCCCCCCGTGGTACTTCATCGGGGTGGGCCCCAAGTTCGTGCCCGGAGATCCGAGGGTATGATTTCTTCAATGCGGCGTTTCTGTTCGTGGGTTTCGGCCTCCGGGGCCCGCTATCGGGCCAAGGGACCATCAAAGAAGGATCCGGGACGAGGAGCCACCTCCGGAGAAGGGGTCGGGACCTCTGGGGCTGCGGATGGGAAAAAGCAGATCGGCAGATGTCTGGGTTGCTCAGTCGAAAGCCCCACGATGTCGGGGAGGGGGGCCGCCATCCCTCGTTCACGAGCTCCAGGAGCTGCTCCAGGCCCAGGCCACCGGCCGTGCAGAGGGCAGTGTGGCTCCTCCCTCCTCCCTCCTCCCTCCTCCCTCCTCCCTCCTCCCTCCTGGTGGGACTGGTGCGCTGGAAGGTCGCGGAGAAGGCTGCGAGGCGTGCCCAGCTGGACAGGTTTTTCCCAACCCTCCTGCGTTGGGTACTCGTTTTGAATAGAGCACTGTGGTCTCCACCTTCCTCCTCCTCCTCCCGCCCCCTCTCTTCCTCTCTTCGTTCCTGCTCTCCTCTCTTGCTTGCCTTCTCCTCCTCTCTTCGCTCCTCCTCTTCTCTTCTCTTGCCTTTCACGTCATCCCTGGCGGGCTGCGATCTGCGGAACTGTCACCACTTTCGAGGGCTGCTGGTGGGTCCAGCGGAGTGAGGCACCACGGGGACTCAGATTAGACCTCGCCATCCCTGGGGGGGGGGCTGCGATCTGTGAAACTGTCGCCACTTTCGAGGGCTGCTGGTGGGTCCAGCGGAGTGAGGCACCACGGGGACTCAGATTAGACCTCGCCATCTCTGGGGGGGGGCTGCGATCTGTGAAACTGTCACCACTTTCGAGGGCTGCTGGTGGGTCCAGCGGAGTGAGGCACCACGGGGACTCAGATTAGACCTCGCCATCTCTGGGGGGCTGCGATCTGTGAAACTGTCGCCACTTTCGAGGGCTGCTGGTGGGTCCAGCGGAGTGAGGCACCACGGGGACTCAGATTAGACCTCGCCATCTCTGGGGGGCTGCGATCTGTGAAACTGTCGCCACTTTCGAGGGCTGCTGGTGGGTCCAGCGGAGTGAGGCACCACGGGGACTCAGATTAGACCTCGCCATCTCTGGGGGTGGCTGCGATCTGTGAAACTGTCGCCACTTTCGAGGGCTGCTGGTGGGTCCAGCGGAGTGAGGCACCACGCGGACTCAGATTAGACCTCGCCATCTCTGGGGGGCTGCGATCTGTGAAACTGTCGCCACTTTCGAGGGCTGCTGGTGGGTCCAGCGGAGTGAGGCACCACGGGGACCTCGCCATCTGTGGGGGCTGCGATCTGTGAAACTGTCGCCATTTTCGAGGACTGCTGGTGGGTCCAGCGGAGTGAGGCACCACGGGGACGGGGACTCCGATTAGACCTCGCCATCCCTGTGGGGGCTGCGATATGTGAAACTGTCGCCACTTTCGAGGGCTGCTGGTGGGTCCAGCGGAGTGAGGCACCACGGGGACTCAGATTAGATCTCGCCATCCCTGGGGGGCTGCGATTTGTGATGTGAAACCGTCGCCACTTTCGAGGGCTGCTGGGGGGCCCAGCGGAGTGAGGCCCCACGGGGACTCAGATTAGACCTCGCCATCTCTGGGGGGCTGCGATCTGCGAAATTGTCGCCACTTTCGAAGGCTGCTGGGGTGACCAGCGGAGTGAGCCCCCACGGGGACTCAGATTAGACCTCGCCATCGCTGGGGGGGGCTGCGATTTGCGAAATTGTCGCCAGTTTCGAGGGCTGCTGGGGGGGGCAGTGGAGTGGGGCACTCAGATTCGACCTCGCCATTCCTGGGGGACTGCGATTTGCGAAACCGTCGCCACTTTCGATGGCTGCTGGGGGGCCAGCGGAGTGGGTCCTACGCAGACTCAGGCTCGACTTCGCCATCCCCGAAGGGCTGCGATCTGCGAAACAGTCGCCACTTTCGAGGGCTGCTGGAGGGCCCAGCGGAGTGGGGACATATTCGGATTCAGATTAGACCTCGCCATCCTTGGGGGGCTGCGATCTGCGAAACTGTCACCACTTTCGAGGGCTGCTGGGTGGCCCAGCGGAGTGACGTCATACGCGAGCCTGGGGCTTTAATCCTCGTTCTTTCGATCGTCGTCGTGTGAGCCGTGCAATGCGTGCGCATCCCATGTAGTTTGCACAGCAATTCACATCGCCTACATTATCGTTGTTCCTGCTAATGTTGGCCTACTCCTCTTGCCACTTGATGCACGTGGGTTGGGTACGTCGCAGGGTAATTGTTGTCTGTGGCGCGCCCGAGGGTGCGTCGCGACGGGGGTGATCTTTGAAGGAGGCGGGGCGCTTCTTAGAAGGCGGGGGGGCCTCTGAGGAGGGGCTCGGGAGCAAGGCGGCTTCTGAGAGGCCACCCGCTTTCTCAGACGCCCTCCTCCGTCTTCTTAATCGGGAGGCCGCCCCCCCTATCGCACACCGACCCCTTGTGCGCGCCGCCGGTGGTTGAGAGCGGAGGTGTGCAGGTGCTTGAAAAATCGGTGCCCAGCCTGGTTGCCCTGCAGGGGGTATGGCAGATTCTTCGGATTCGGTTGGTTCATGGGGGTCAACTTTCCGAGTCTGCAAGGGATGTTGAAGCACGTCGTTGTGGCTTTAGGTCTCACGTTTTCGTCCATGCTGATGATTTTTGTGTTGGATTCGGTTGAGATTGCCCTCAAGGCATCTCACAAGAAGCAAGTGTCGAAGACCGCCGACACCAGTGACAACAAGCGCGCAAAGAACATTGCCAGCTTCATCGAGAGCATTGTGGTGGCACTGGCAATACTCATCGGCTTCTCCTGGGAGAAGGCGTTCGACGTCGCGGTGGAGGGAGTCGCGAAAGCCTCCGAGCAGCGCGTGCCGGAGCACGCCACGAAGCTGCTGATGGGTGTCGTGCTGGCGGGCGTGGTGGTGCCCGCCTGGCGCCTGCACATTCTCCCGCACATCGAAAAGATGAATGAAGAGCTGGAGGAGGAGGAGGAGGAGGAGGAGGAGGAGAAGGGCTAGCGAAGAAACAGCGGCATAAAAATAAACTTTGTTGCAGGTCCGCGCGGATCTCTTGGATTTGAGCTGGACATCCGAACCATTCACCGATCCGAGGAATCCGCGCGGACCTCCGAAAGTTTCGTTTTCGCGGCTATTTGTTCCTCCTGAGGAGGCCGAGGAGGAGGAGAAGCAGGAGAAGGAGGAGGCCGAGAAGCCAGGCAAATCCTCCTCCTCCTCCTGCTCCTCCTGCTCCTCCTGCTCCTCCTCCTCCTCCTCCTCCTCCTCCTCCTCCTCCTCCTCCCATGAGAGTCCCACCACCACCACCATCTCCTCCTACCTCCTCCTCTTCCTCCTCCTCCTCCTCCTCCTCCTCCTCTTCCTCATCCTCCTCCTCTGTCCATCTCCTCTCTCCATCTCCTCTGTCCATCTCCTCTGTCCATCTCCTCCTCCTCCTCCTCCTCCTCCTCCTCCTCCGCCTCCTCCTCCTCCTCTCCCTCCTTCTCCTCCTCCGCCTCTTCTATACATCTCCTCCTCTCCTCCTACTACTCCTCTCCTCCTCCTCCTCCTCCCTCCTCCTCCTCCTCCTCCTCCTCCCCCTCCTCCTCCTCCCCCCCCTACCTCCTCCTCCTCCCCCTCCTCCTCCCCCCTCCTCCTCCTCCTCCTCACCCTCCTCCCCTCCTCCCCCTCCTCCTCCTTCTCCTCCCCCCCCCCCTCCTCCCTCCACCTCTCAAGGCCGGGAGGGCGCGGCCGAGAGGCGGCGGAGCTCCCGCGAGGCGCGCGGCCCGCCCGCGCTCGAGCAGGCGGCTGGGGCTGCTCGGCCCCGCGGCGGCGACGAGCTGCGGAGGCCGCTGCTCGGCGGCGGGGGGCGGAGCCCCGGGCGCGACGCCGCCGGCCACGAGGCGATCGGGCGAACGCGCGCTTGGTATCGCTCGGACGTGTGCACTTGTTCTCGGTGGGGATTGTTTGAGGAGCATCCTGGATCATCCTGCGAAACCATGCATGAAACCGCAAAAGGCACAGGGAATGGACCTCCGAGCGATGGCCAGCGCGGGGCCCGGACTCGACGACGACGACGACGACGACGACGACGACGACGACGGCGAAGGCGACGACGACGACGGCGACGGCGACGACGACAGCGGCGACGACGGCGGCGAGGACGGCAGCGACGACGGCGGCGAGGACGGCGGCGACGACGGCGACGACGACGACGACGACCAGTCCCTTCCTCCGCTCCTCCACCTCCTCGTTCCCATGCCGATCTGGGTGGCGAGGAGTAGGCGTGAGGTGCGCCTGGTGCCTCGGCTGTGCTCGCCGCTACCCTTGGCGTCCTGGCTTGCCTACAGGCCCACCTGAGAATGTTCTCAGAACCGTGTGTGATCTGCACGAAAGGTTCTTAGAACATCTCTCGCTGAGACTGGCTTGTTCTATCACATCTTGTTTATGTTCGAAGAGCACGCATGGCTTTTGTTCATGGAACATTTTCAGGGTTCTAAGAACATGCCGTGGTAGGCATATAGGAATGCCGGGACGATCGGCCCCTGCACAGCAGACCTCCTCGCGTTGTTCACAAATCAAGGCGGAAGGTTTTTGCGTTATTGTCGGCCTCCAGGGGCCCCCATAGGGCCTCGGGGCGGTCAACAAACGACTCGAGATGGAAATCCGGTCCCCGGGAAGGGGTCCAGACATTTGGGGGTCGACGCCTCCTCCTCCTCCTTCTTCATCCTTCTCCGCCTCTTCCGCCTCCTCCGCCTCCTCCTCCTCCTCCTCCTCCTCCTCCTCTTCCTCCTCCTCTTCCTCCTCTGCTCAAAAGATATGACGTCGGAGGTCTTGGGGGGAGCCCAGGTCTCCGACGGCACGGCGGGTTCCTGCCCCGAGATCCCTGGCGCTGCAGTTGTCCTTCGAGCCGGGGCGTTGTCGTCCGGCTTCGGGCCCCGGGACCCTCAAAGATCGACGCGGCTCGAGGAACTGGCGCAGGAAGACGGGGGTCCGGGGCTCCGGCGGCGAGTTGTTTCGTGATGCTCCCTAACGCGCCCACAAGAGAGGGCGTCTCTTTTCTTGGCGTCCTCCCTGAAGGGGGTGCACGGCTTCTAAACGTACTCGTGACTATTTATTCGGTTCGCGCACATTGTTAAAGCAAGCACAGGCGAGAAGGAAAGAAGTAGAAATGGGCACGAAGTGTGGGCTTTCAAGATCGGCACGAATATATGCCACGCGACATGCTATCAGAAATGGACACGGGCGTCAATACTAAACACGGTAATAGGCACGCGTGCTAAATAGACAGGAATGTGATACGAACATACACGAACACATATCCTAAGACGGCCTCGCCCAAAAAGGCAACGACTGATAGACACGCTTACGAATGTGTCTGCATGTGTATGTTTACACATGCAGACATTTGCGTGCACGAAACCATACACGTAGCCCTGTACACGTGCACACCCACGTGTGATGGATCCTATGGTTTCGGGAGTTGGGGGGGAGCGCCGATGAGTGCGAAGGACATGGAAGAGTTTGGAGGAGCGCCGCGGAGTGCGATGGAGCGCGGGGAGGTCTGGGGGAGTGAGGAGGTGTGCCGAGGAGTGCGATGAAGAGGGGAGGAGTCAGGAGGAGAGCCGAGCAGCACGGTGGAGTGAGGAGGAGTGGCGTGGAGCGGCGTGGAGTGCGATGGAGTGGGCTGGAGTCTGGAGGAGCGGGGGGGGGTCCCAGGAGTGCGAGGGAGTGAGGAGGAGCAGGGAGGAGTGCCGACGAGTGAGATTGAACGAGGAGTTCGGAGTAGGGAGGAGAGCCGCGGAGTGGAGTGGGATGGAGTCCACAGGAGTGCCGAGGCTTGCAATGGAGAGGGGGGAAGTCGGGGGGGTGGGGTGGGGTGCCGAGGAGTGCGATGGAGTGGGGAATAATCCTGAAGAGTGCGAAGAAGCACCGAGACGTGCGATTGAGCGGGGAGAAATGCCAAGGAGTGCGATTGAGTGGGGAGATCGGGAAGAGTCAGGAGGAGTGCCGAGGAGTGCGATGGAGCGGGGAGGAGTCGGGTGGAGTCGGGAGAAGCGCCGATGAGTGAGATGGAACGAGGAGTGGAGTGGGGAGGAGTCCACACGAGTGCCGAGGAGGGCCGAGGGTTGCAATGAGGAGGGGAGACGTCAAGAGGGGGAGCGGGGTAAAGTGCCTAGGAGCGCAATGGGTTGGGAAAGAATGGTGAATGCATACATATACACGCGCACGCCTAATTATGCATAAACAAATACCCACAACACACGCGCGAACCAATTCCTCAATGTGGGTGGATCGCGGGAAATAGACACGCGTCCCCAAACATCGACACGACATAATAGATACGGATAGGTGCAAAACTATAAACTATGGCGCGGATAGACATTAACATATGGACGCGTTTCGCAACCATGGGCACGCTGCATGTCAGACACGGATCGACACTGAATAGGCATGGAGATATAGGGATTTCACAAGCCGTTGGTCCAGTTTCGGTAAAGCTAGACACGGACACTTTCCAGCTGTATTGCAGGAATGCTTAAATGTCTTGGGACATCATGGCAACGCCGAGTCTACCTTCGATTGCTTGGAGGTCTTGTTGGCAAGGGTTGTAATGTTTTGCAACGTCGGAGCTCAGGTTGCGGCGTTCGCGCGCCAGCGACGCCAGGGAAAGTTCTCAATAGGTTGAATTTTGCGGCGCGGGAACACCGAGGGACACGGTGACGCCACTGGACCCGATGGAATGCAACCTTGATCGGTCGGGGCCGCGATTGATTCAAGGTGGAACGATCCGCGTGGTGTCAAAAACCTTTGCGAGCGCCGACGCCGCAGGGCGTGCGTTCAGGGATGTGCCCAGGATGGTTCGGGCCCCGGAGGATTATCTGCCGAGGGCGGCTGTGCTATCCATGGTCGGGCCTCGACTGGTGTTCCACCAGCCTTGCAGACCCTCGATTCCTTCCCCAACGCTTCCTTCTCGAACGTCCTCACCGTCGATGGGGCCCAGCGGAGGACGAGAGGGGCCGCACGAGAGTGCCACTTAAGGGGGCCGCACGGGCGGAGGACGGGGACCCGGGGGGGGAGCCCGAGACCGCCTAGGCCCAGAAGCGGGGCGGCCGCCGCGTCGGCCAATGCAGGGAGGGGGGGGTCCAATAGGTCCGAGGGCGGCGCCCGGGGTCCCCGGGGGCAACGTCAAAGGGGGGGGGGGGGGCATGGTGGGCTCGGGAGGGGGGGGGGGGGGGGGCGATGGGTTCGACGCTCGAGGTCTTTGGGGCGCCTGCGCGGGTTCTCCTGCGGCCGTCCGGCCTCGGGATGCCGTCCAGGAGCTGCGCCTCGCCAGGAGCGTCCCGGGTGTGCCCCGCGGGTCGTCCCGGACAGCCGCCGGGGAGCGGAGTCTGGAGCGTCGCGGCATGGGGGGCGATCAACGGGGGGGCAGCGAGGGCTGCAGAGAGGGGCCCTTTGGGGCCCCCAGAAGGGCCCTTTCGGGCCCAGGAGGGAGCCTTTCGGGCCGCAGGAGTGCACCTTTCTTCCCCCCCAATGGTAGCCCCCCCCCCCCCCCCCTCCAGCGACGCCGAACGAGTCATGTACCGAAAGTCGGTGGCCACATGTGAACCCTACCCCCACGCCGAATTACGATGTCCAAAGGTGGGGGATGGGGGTTCACTTCGTGCGGGAGCTCCCGAGCGGAGTGACCCCTCCCCCCCTCCCTAGAAATCTTGGGGGGGGTAGGGCTCACACGTGGGCCCCCCCCCGGGAAGTGGGAGGCCACATCGCCGATACATCGACGATGCGGCTCTATGTGGGACCTGATTTCCGCCGTGTCGACGTCGACGTTGCATCGCCGACGTCGCCGATGCATCGCCGATGCGGCGCGATCATCCGACCCCATCTACTCGGAACCCTTCCCAGAGGCCTCTATCAGACGTGCCCCTCCCATTCGATCAGCCCGCAGGCGAGGATGGCGGAGCTGGCGGGGCTCAAGGCGGAGGTCGACGGCAAGCTGGACGCCGTCATCGCGCAGCTCGGGGTGCTCGACCGACGCTCCGCCGAGCTCGTGGCGGGCCGAAGTGGGAGTACGCCGCCAAAGGGCGCCGGCCCGTGACAGTTATAGCGGCATGTGTTGGCGGACGGAGAACGGACGCATGTCGCGGCGCCCGCTGGTGAGACCCTCCCGCACGACCCGCCCGCCCGACCCGCACGTCAAAGTCCGCCCACCCGACACGTCCGTTGGGGTCGTCGTCGCCGACGTCGCCCTCGTCGTCGTCGTCGTCGCCGTCATCCTGGCATGTTCCGCCATCGGGGACGTCTCACCCAGGGCGGCTGGGAAGTGTATGCCCCCGCTCAGAGGGGGAAGAGTGTGCCACTACCGCTGTCCCTGCTTCGGGATCTCCATGGTGGGCTTCCTGGACGGCCCTCGTCGTCACCGCTGGATTCGCCTCGAGATCCTGGGCAGAACCCTCCCCGAGAGAGGCTCGGGGAGTAGCAGCATCGGCACCTCCTGGTTTCTCCACACGAGGGCGCATCGGCGAGAAAAACTTCACATTTGCCCCGGACCTGGCGGCCCCGATGGCGGAGCAGTTTGAGCGGCACCGCTCTTCGTCCGCTGAGTGTCCCGAGCTTCCCCCCCGCTCTTCGTTATAATTCGCGGCGTATATGGCGGCGCGCACAAAGGCATGACGCGAGGGGGGCGGCCTTCTCAGAAGGCGTGTGCGCTTCTCACAGGGCTGGGGTCTTCTTAGAAGGCCCCGCAGGCTTCTGAGAAAAAGCGGCAGTGCTGAGCAGCAACCGTGCGGGTGGGGGGATCGCACAACATTCAAAGTGAGGGGGCCAAGCTCGCAGCCCCGAGTCGTGGCACAGGTGGCGGCTGGTGCCGAGGCGCCAGGAGGAACCACGGCAGCCCAAAGTTTCGAAGACTGGGGGGCAAGACCAGAAGGGACAAGCCACCCCTCTTCCGGTCGACTACACGTAACAGGGGCCCATCGCCGGAGTGATTTCTGGTGCGGGCCCACTGGGGTCTCCCGATCACCGAACGCGATGCGATAGTTAGTGGCGTCTTGCGCGCTTATGTTTGGTGCCCAAGCGGCCCCCGAACATCCGCGCACCAAAGGCCACTCTTGTGATCGTTTGTGTTGTTCATTGGTTTGCCGATCGGCGCGGGACCTCGCACCCCCCCCCTCCCCCCCCTGGAGTAGCTCTTGGCTGTTTATGCCGCCTGTTTCGAGCATTGGAGTCTCCCCCACGGGACGCACTGTTGCAAACAGCCGCGCTCTGCAGAGGTCCGGAGCCAGACCCCCATATCCCCCCCCTTCGCACAGTGTCGAAACGCCGAATAAGAAAGCGTTCACCCTACCCGGGGCCACTCCTGCGTGCAGCCGGCACGGAGGCGCGTCGCGCCCCCTGGACCCGAGGGCGGCAACTCCCAGCCTCTTCTGGCCTCTTGGCACCGCTCGGACGTGTGCTTTTCTTTGTCTCGGCGAGGACCCTCGAGGAGCACCCTGGGTCATCGGGCCAAAAGAGCACACACACACATACATACACACACGACAGTATCGTGCGCGACGATGCCGACACGTGCACGGGGAGTCTTCTAGACGCCCAGGGCTGCCCGAGGCATACCCCTAGGGCCTACCCCTAGGGCTACCCCTGGGCCTGCCCCTGGGCCTGCCCCTAGAAGGCTACCCTGGGCCTACGGGGAGGGGACCTCAGGGCGACGGCACAAGCCGTGCGGCTGCCCCGGCGCTCCCGGGGACCAGGCGCCCCCGCTCGATGCTGCTGCTGCCGCCCCGGGCCGGACGGCCTGCGCCCGGGGGTTCCTGCTGCTGCTGCGCTTCCTGCGTGCTGCGGGTGCAGGGGCCCGGGGAGCCCGGGGGCCTCCTCCGGATCCCTTAGTTCCCCGGGTCCGGTTTATTAAGGCGCCTTTTGGGGAAGCAGGGGGGTCCGGTTTATTAAGGCGTTTCTTGAAGCCGACGTTCAGGGGGGGTCCGGTTTATTAGGGCGCCTTTTGGGTACTAGCCCGCGAAGTACTAACCGTCATCATCATCATCATCAGCATCATCATCATCGTCGTCATTGTCATCGTCATCGTCATCATCATGTTCATCATCACCAACATCATCATCAGCATCATCATCATCAGCATCATCATCATCAGCAACATGTTCAACATCATCGTCATCATCCTCATCATCGTCGTCATCACCATCATCACGATATGATACGGCGGTGGCAATGATGATACTTCTGATGGCGATGACGACTATCTCGGTGATGGTTTCCTCATCGCACCCCAAGCGCGAACATCATCTTGCGCACTTAAGTGTCCCTCAGTTCTCCTTGAAGCCCGCCTTCAAGGCCGCTTTCTTCGTGCGGAAAGCTGCCCCTTCGTCGTCGTCGTCGTCTTCGTTGTCGTTGTCGTTGTCGTCGTCGTCGTCGTCGTCGTCGTCGTCGTCGTCGTCGTCGTCGTCGTCGCAGTAGTCGTAGTCGTAGTTCTCGTATCGTCGTCGTCGTCGTCGTCGTCGTCGTCGCGCTCGCAATTTTGCTGGGGGGGGTCCGGAATATTAAGGCGCCCTCTGTGGGAGGGGGTCCGGAAAATTATGTCGCGAAGGAAGGGGGGGTCCGGTTTTTTGAGGGGGGGTCGATTATTAAGGGATCCAGAGTCCCCGCGGCGAGTGAGGGCGGCGCCTTCCACGGGGCGGCCTCCACGTGGATAGCGTGTCGCGCCGAAGCGTGGTGGAGGAGGAGGAGGAGGAGGAGGAGGAGGAAGAGGAAGAGGAGGGGAAGGAGGGGGCGCCTGAAAGCCTCGATGGGAGCGCCTGGACGTCTGCCCCCCCCCTCGGATCTCCACGCTATCCGCGGCGCGAAGGGGCAAGGCGGTGCCTTCCACGGGCGCTTCCGAGAAGCCTTCCTGGAAGCCTTCGAGCACTTCTGCGAAGGCCCTTCCCTACTCAGAGCACCTCCCCTTCTCGCCACCACAGAAAGCACGCCGCCAGCAGATCCCGAAGGCCCCCGCTTGCTTCGCGAGTCGCGTGGCAGGCCGCGGCTTCCCGCGGGGCCTGGCTGCCTCGTGGCCGTCTGCGGAGAAGATCCATGCAAGTTCTCGAAGAGAACAAACCACGTACTCTGAACTTCAAGATAAAAAAGGGTGGGGTCTGATCTGGGGGGGGGGTCTGATTTGAGCTGTCTTGGAGGGATCCATTGGGGGCTGGGCAACAAAGTTCATGGCTGGTCATGGGGAGTCCATAACTGCTCGTCTGGGACGGTTGTGACCCCCCTCCTTTTTCTCACGAAGCTTGGCGCATGCATGTTTTGGGATCTTTGGAGTTCCGCACGGACGTCTCGCATCGGCATTGGACCACCCTGACGGCGCCTCTGGCGCCGCGCGGGGAAGATGGGTCTACAGTCGGGGCGCTGAAGAAGGAACCCTTTTCGTTGGGGAGGGGCTCCGTGTTCCTCGATTGTTTCACAGCTTGCCTTAGGTGCTCCTCAGGTTTTCGATGGGAAATCGAAGTTCAACTTATGGAAAAAGGGCCTCGTTCCTTATTTAGGGCTCCTTAGGTCAGCGCCCCCACAGGTAGCGCCGTGCGGCGAGATTCAGAGGCAGCGCTGGGCGGGGATGGGCTTGGGGGGGGGGACCCATCGACCCTCAGTCGCCCACTCATCGCCGATAGGGGCTCGATAGTCAGGAGCGGAAAAAACACACAGACACAATTAATCGTCGATCCCCCAGAAAATATGGGAAAATGTGGGAAGTGGTGGGGAAGGCAGAAACCCAGAAAATATGCAAACATATGGGGAATCCTTTTATTTGTGTCTATGTATGTGTCCCAGGGCCCCTTCAGAGAGGCTTCCGCTGCCCCTCCCCAGGCCGCACGGCGGGCGAACGGCGTGCTTGAAGATCTCGGTTCGGGGGGCGCAGGGTCCTGGCATCGCTCGGACGTGTGCACTTCTTCTCGGCGGGGATTCTTAAGGAGCGTCCGGGATCATCCTGCGAAAAAGCCACGCACGAAACCGACAAAAACCACAGGGAATGGACGTCCGAGCGAAGGCCAGAGGTGGGCACACTCATCGCATACATCCCGCACAACCAGCAGCGGGAGGAGGAGGAGATTGCTTTGCACGGGAGGTTGGGTGACTTGTTTGAGAAATGCTCCGTCAACGGACCCAGGGTGCTGATAGGAGACTTCTCTGCCAGAGTCGGCAAAGCCAGGCTGGGGGGGGGGGAAGACGTCATCGGTGATTATGGTTGGGGCCCGGAGGCGGTGAAGAAGGCGGAGCTCTCAAGTAATTAGAGACTTGTTCATGAAGTTCCGCATCGCTCCATGGTCGTGGCGAGCAGTTTTTGGAGGACAGCACACCAGAAGGTATAGCTTCTTATGTGGAGCCTGGCGTGGAACACTCGGCCGCGGTTTCGGAGCCCACACGCAATATGCTGGAGTTGGTTTTGCCCAGGTATCGGACGTCCGGAGCCGGCCTGGCGCCATTCAGCTGACAAATAATTTTGTGGTTGCGAGTGGCAGAATGTGGGTTCGCAGAGGCAGCGCTCCGAATGCAGGGTGGCTGTTTTTTGGGGGTGCTACGACTGCAATGCGACCGTCACGTGTGGTTCGAGGGAGGCTGACTTTGACACAAGAGTTTTTTGGCTCCCAGAAAAGGTCCCCAGAGCAACAGGGCCTTCCCGTCAAGCCCCGATTTGGCCTGAGGTTCACCACTTGGGATGCACTGCAGGTTTGGAGCGATACCATGAAGGTCATTCGGCCCGAGTTCCAGGGAAATTGCGACTGCGGCACATTTTGGTTTGATATGCAAGGTCAAGTCGGAGGATATACTGAGGGCTCGCAAGGGAGTCTTGCATAAGATGATTGCGGCTACCGTTGAGAATCCACCCATTCAGCCCTGAGCTTTGGCATCGGAAGCCCCGTCTTGGCCCCGTTGGCAAAACGTTGCCCAACGGTCTCCTGGCTGGGAATGCGGAGGAGGCGCTGGCGTTTCCGGTCTTCGGAAGGAAGCTCTTCCACACCCCCTGACTACTCGGATGGCTCTGGTCAAGTCGGGGACGGTGACGCGAGGCCACCAACCATGGGCGGTGAGCGCACCAAAACGTTGAGAGGCACAAGTGATCAATATGGGGGCATATCATCGCAGGTTGTGCAAGTCAATCCCGCTGACAGCGGTTCCTGTGGAGCTGGTTCGGGTGCTCATACGGGAACGGCGCTGCCAGGACCGCAGGTGATGACCCCCGTTGACATCGGCGTTGCTGGAGTGGGAGGCTCGTCTGCACAGGGCCAACGATTAGATTGACAATGCGTGGGGCATGGCTCCTACTGTCGTAGAGGGATACGGTGCACCTTTTTCGTGGGAGCGGAACATGGAATCAGGGTCCGTCGTTTGCTTGTCCAGCATCTCGCGCTAGTCAAACTCGAAGACAATACTGGGGCCGCCTTTGAAAGCAACAGGCAATTCGAACTGGAAGCCCTTGATCATGGAGTGGGGCTGGGTATCTCCGAGGCAAAGCAGTGCGGACGCGCGTGGCGCTATTAGCCTGGATAGGCACAGCGTAGAGAGTACCCTTGCGAAGGCAAATCGGAATTTGCATTGCCAAGAGGTTGCGTGTTGCTATTAGGAGCACAGCTATTCGAATTTGAAGAACGAACCGATGCCTCCGACGAGGCAGGCGTTCTCAACGCGATGCGAGCCTGAGGGGGCGGATCGCCGCGCTGTAGCAAGAGACGGTTGCCGATTTGAGAACTTCGATAAAGGGTGATTTGGGGGCCCGCGAACGCACGGTGGCACGGACAACGCCACCTCAGAAAATTAACTAGGCGAGGCACCTAGACATATGAAGTTGAGCACCGTCGCTGTGAGCGTCGCTCTCGGTGAATCTCCTCGCGGGGCCACGAAGCGCACGCAGGGCGCGCCGACGCGCGGCGGGGCGCATCGCGAGGGAAATCAGATGTGGGAGAGGGGCCAGCAATTGGACTGCGGCGTGGACGGGGGGGGGGCGCGGGCGGGCGGAGGGCCCCCTTGGTTTGGCCAGGCCCCCGCGCGCCGCCGTTTCGAACCCATTCGCTTCCACGCTCTTTCTCTTCTTTCCAGGCTTCCGTCGTGCACTGCGCCCCTGCCCGCTTGCCTTCGGTGGCCCGAGTCCCGGGCGCTGCCTTCTCGCGCCCGCGCCCCCCCTCATCTGTCTTCCGTTTTTGTCCTCGCGCTTTGGCGGCCGCGGCTCCCGGCAGGGCGCAGCGCGGGCCCCCCGCGACGCGCGCCGGCCGCCCCGGCGGGGCCTTGGCGACGCGCGCGGGTCGGCACGGGGCAGGAAGAAGTGGGCGGCTGACAACGGGCGAGGCGCGCGGCAGAGCGCGCGAGGGTCCGGCAGCATCTGGAGGCAGAGCGCAGGCGGGCCTCGCGACGCGCGCCGAACGCCCCGAGAGGATTTCAGCGACGCGCGCGGGTCGTCCGCGGCGCCGGGGCAAGCGCTGCGACGGAGGACAGGCGGCGAGGCTCAGGCGGGCTGATCCCCGGGTCAGGCCTCGCGGTCAAATTCGGCGAAGCCCACCTCTTTGGCGGGGGCCGTCGCCTCTTTCCTGCGCCGCTTCGCGCGCGTCGCAAACGGCTCCGGCTGCTTCCGCCTGCCGCGTGGGGGCGCCCGCGCGAGCAGGAGGTCTTCGCGGCGCGCGGCGCGCGAGAGGGGGCCCAGCCATAGAGCCTTCGGAAGAGCTCCCATTGAGGCCGCGGCGCGCATGGGCGGGGGGGGCGCGCGTGAACCCTGCCGCTGGGGCCTTGAGCGGAGCCGCCTATAGGGCCTCGCAGCGTGCGGGGGGCGCGCCGACATGGGCGCGCGGCGGGCTGGGATGCGCATGCGAGCCCTGCCGACCCTCGCGGCGCCTTTGGTGCCGCGAACCGCGCGAGGCGCGAATCGAGTGAGGCGCGCGCAGAAATGGGCGCGCGGCGGGCGGGGGGCCGCGCGTGAACTCTGCCACTGGGGCCTTCGGCGCGCCCCTTATGGAGCCGCGAATCGCGCGGGGGGCACGCCGAAATGGGCGCGCGGCGGGCGGGGGGCTGCGCGCGAACCTCCCTGCTGGGGGCTTCGGTGGGGCTCCCTGCGGGGCCGCGAAGCGCGCGGGGCGGCGCGCTGGAATGGGCGCGCGGCGGGCGGCGGGGCGATCTTGAACGTTGCCGCTTGAGCCTTCGGCGGAGCACTCAATGAGGTCGCGAGGCGCGCGAGGGGCCCTCCGCGCGCGTCGCAATGGTTGGCGCGCGGAGAGCAGGGGCAAGGGTGGGAAGCGGGGGCGCGCGGGGCGCTGTCAGTTCAAAACGAGGGCCCGACGCCGCGGGATGGCCGGGGACTGAGATTTCGCGGGGGAGCGCGCATCGACGAGATGCAAGCGGATGCAGCGCATGCGAGGGGCGGGATGGGGTCGAATTTCGGGAGTGGGAGAGACAATCGCCGCGCCTCCACGAGAGGCGCCGCGTCGCGGCCCTCGCGCGTCGGCGAGCGAGGAGGAGGGCGTCGTTGACGAGGGCCCGGAGAAGGACGAGGCCGCGGCGACTGCTCGGGCTGAGATTCTGGAGCCCGCGGAGCTCCGAAGAGAAGTGCTGGTAAATGTTGACGAAGGATTGAACGCATAGGAAGAGGGCGAGTCGAGTCGTCGCGAGGAGGGGGATCTTTGCGCCCCAGAAGCTAAGCTTGAACGCGACGGCGCAGCGTCGCCGGGGAGGCGACGCCGATCGAACGGAGGGAAACTGTCATGCGCAGGAGCATCTCATTACAAGAGTGCGAGTTCCCGGCGTCCGGTTCTCAGCAGAATTCTGAGTTGCAGTTGTCCGAGGACGTTTGCGCGCTTCTGGCGATCATGGCGCGAGACGAGGGAATCCCGACCGCGGGGTGGAAGACGGTTCAATGTGCCGATACAGAAGAAACGCGGGAGGCCCACGAAAGGGCAACCGTTCTTCTTGCGATCAATAAGAATAAAGGGTTATGGTCGTGGTCGAGCTGCCCCACTGCATTTGATTCGACCCAGCTCGAGGCTCGAAGGGGCGGGGATCAAAGGGGGGCCGAGGCCTATTGCATGCGCGTGCAAATAGGGCCTACCTAAACTCGTAACCGATGACGAAGTGGAGAAATGAGGCTATGTCTCTGACCCTGACATATAGATTCGTACCGTTTGGGATTCAGATTATGATGTCTTCCTGGGCTGCCCGTGGCCGACGATGCAATGCCCGTCTGCGACGCTGCTTCAGCTGAGATGAGAAAAGTAGATGCCGCGGATGAGTTCATTCTTCCCGCGTGCGCAGCTGCGCTCCCTGAGACTTTCGAGTTCAACCGAGGAATGCTACCGGCGTGGACGACCCCGATCTTCCATGACAGGGGGAAGTGTTGCGAATTTGTGCAGACATAAAGAGAGATCCCCAGGGTACATGACTGCGCAGAGATCCCCAGGGCATTGCGGGGATTTGGAAGAAGCTGCTTTAGCTGCTTAGGCAGTGCTCGGCCACGGCTATATATTCGGAGTGCTGGGCGCTGGCTTCCGCAACGGATTCCCGAGCCAGGAAAGGTGGAGCCGGTTGCCCGGAGTTCCTAATGACATTGACATTCGTGAGTCCAGTAGACTTTCTGGCGACATGCCTGTTATTGCGAAGCCCTGCATCGTGGGGCGCCAAAGCGATGGCATTGTAAATGGCACTCGACATGCATGACGATGAGGAATGGGCTGCCCTGATTGCAGCCCATCGCGACGTTCCGCGGTTGATCCGAGTGCTCAATGAACATGCGAAAGATCGAATCTACGAGAGGAGACATCTTCCTGCGAAAGGTGGGTGGAGGACTCCCACGGCGGTGCCGTTGCAGTGCTTACTGAGGCAGAGAACATCAATATGGCAAGGTCTGCTGGGGGCAGGCTTCCTATGCCGAGCGCCGTCCCGCTGCCCCGCGGGGCCCCTGGCCGCCATGCGGCGAAGGGGCCGAAGAACGAGATGGGAAAGGTTGCGACGACCCCCGCGAAATCAGGGGTGGCTTCCTCTGGCAGTTGGCAGGTCGCAGCCACGGGCGATGTCGAAGCCGCCGCGGGGGGTGGTGAAATTGCGGGAGAGGCTGCGCGCGCGACGGTCGGAGGATTCAACCGCGACGCCTGCCTGAATCGGCGCGAAGTGGACATATCAAGAGCTGAGGCGCTGGTGCTTTTTGACGCTAGACCAATTCCCAATGCAATCAATGCCTTTCTTGCGACTGGCGGTGCCATTATAACGAACGGATGTCCAGAACTTGCAGGGGCGTTCGGGGCGTTTGCCTTGAAGTGCAAAGTTCCCGAAGTAGCTGTATTTACGATCTATGATCGGCGGGGCGATTGGTCTGACGCTTCCTCCGCGATAAGTATCAGGCTTGCAGTGCGGCGTTGAGCAGAAGCCAGCTGACAAAGAAAGTGCCGCGCCGGAGGAAAAAGTAGCGCTTTCCTTGGGAGCGCTGGACAAGTTGTGGAAAGCCCCCAGGCGCGGGGAGCCTTATGTTTGTTTTGCGTGTGTTTAAATGGTATAGACAGGTTTGGCTTGGGGCGCTGTCATGCTGCAAGAAGGCCATGGCATGCGCGACCCATGGCCGACGATCTGCGAAATCGGACCTGGGCTGGTGCCGACTGCGCATTGCGACAGACTCCAGGCGTCGGTCAATCTGCTGATGTTCGCACGGATGTTGGCGCTGACGATGATGCGCCGGCTGAGAGCTCAGCGCTGAAGAAACTTGAGAACGACGGCGATCGCCTCTCGAGAGCGAAGCTTCTATACTAAGGAGCACCGCTGGCATGGGCAGCGTCGCGTGGATCGAGGTGCCTGTTTGTGGCTGATTTCTTCTCGCATTCAGGCGTGGCCCAGTGAGGTCACATAACCAAGGGGTGACCAGAATTGTTTGCGTTGGTTGGCCCCGTTTAGATTGGCCCTGGCTTTGATCCTGAATGCGTTCGGCTGGGGCCTGGAGGCGCCCGAGAAAGCGGGGGAGATGGATCTCGGAAAACATTGGGTCGAATGAATTGAGGAGCCATGTTAGACCATGAAGGAATTGCGCGGCGTGCAGGGCAATTCCAGCACCGTTCCTTGAAAGAGGCGGACAATGGTTGGCAAGCCGCAGATAAGCGCGAGGTGGTTCGCAATGCCAGGCTGTGGCCGCGGCTCAGAGACCAGGCGCCAGCCCTCGGCTGGCCCGGGGCCGCCCGCCAGCAGATGTCGCGGGGAAGCGACGAATAAAGGCAGAGTTTTTTTCTGATGCGCAGCCTGCAGCCGATAACCCTGGGACTGATAACTTCGCGAATAAGAAAAGCATGGCAGCGGCCACTGCTTAGCATGTCGCCGAGACCGTGAAAGGTGCATCATCGCGGATGCTCCTGGGGGAGTGGGCAAAGCCTGGCATTGAGGAGCAACGCGAGCCATGGCGCCCCGATCGCACGGGCCGGTTCGCGTGCCGCGCTGTGCGTGCCATAGTGGAGACATCGAAGAAACGCAGTGGACCCGTCGAGGTGTTCGAAGGAGACGACGTCAAAGGGCCATTCCGCAAGCGCGCGGTCTGTCTCCCACAGGGCATCTATGATGAGGCGCGGGGAAGTTCAACGCGCAGTAGAGGCGGCGTCTTTCCTGGATCCGCGCAGTGTCCGGAAGAAGAGAACAGACGTGGAACGGGGCAGCGCCCCTTCTAACATATAGACAACAACCGGGGCGAAGGGCGCGGGGCTCGCCGCGGTCGCAATTCTCACGAGAGCGAGCAACGCCAGGTTCGAATCCCAGGAACCTTCGCAACACTGGACGCAGATGTTACTCTGTGTCCCTCAATAGTTTCGGGGGTACCTATAGTCCCGGGGGGGGGTGCTTGTAGTCCGGGGGGGGTGCCTGTAGTCCGGGGGGGGGGGGTGCTTGTAGTCCGGGGGGGGGGGTATACCTGGGGGGGTACCTGTAGTCTGGGGGGGCGCGCACGGGGGTGCTTGTAGTCCGGAGGGGGGGGGGGGGGCATATGGTCATACCTCAAAGCACGCGTGGTTCCACGCACGCGGGTGTTTAGTACTTACGCGCGCGGGACTTCACGCGCATCGTTGCACACGACACGCCCGCGCGCACGCGCGCATGCACGCGCAGACTCACACGCACGCGCGCACGCGCGCACGCAACCGCACGCAACCGCACGGAACCGCACACACGCACACGCAAGCACACACGCACACGCACACGCACACACACACACACACACACACACACACACACACACACACACACACACACACACACACACACACACACACACACACACACACGCACGCACGCACGCACGCACGCACGCACCACGCACGCACGCACGCACGCACGCACCACGCACGCACGCACGCACGCACGCACACACACACACACACACGCACACACACACACACACACACACACACACACCGCACGCAACCGCACACACGTACACACGTTCCCCTGCTTATTTTTCTGTTTCTTTGTAGATATATCGTTCCGTTCCTCGTTATCTTCTCGTTTCCGTGCCCACTCGCTCAGCCCCGACCGCTGGCCCAACGATGGCGAATTCCTCAGCACGCCTAAGTGAATATGTGCGGGCGCATCTTGGCGGGCCGCTTTGGCTTCCAGAGGCTATACGTAGCGAGCGCGGGGGGGCTTGTAGTTCCGGCGGCTAGGGGGGTACCTGTAGTCCGGGGGGGGGTACCTGTAGTCCGGGGGGGGGTACTTGTAGTCCGGGGGGGGTACCTGTAGTCCGGGGGGGGTACCTGTAGTCCGGGGGGGGGTACCTGTAGTCCGGGGGATCCCCCGGACTACAGGTACCCCTCGAGGGGTACTTGTAGTCCGGGGGTTACTTGTAGTCCGGGGCCCCAAAACTATTGAGGGACACAGAGTATCGCAGATAGGCGCCGGTAAGAGCAATGCGAAAGACGTTGAAGAATAATCGGCGGCATCCGAGCCCGCCCCGCCAGCGGCGTCGGAGGCTGCCCCGGGATCTGGATCGCAGGAAATGGGCGGGGCGAAGGGTCTGGCCGCGGATGAGGAGCGCCGCGTCGGCGCCATGATGGTCGCCGCAGGGCCGGGGCTTGCGAAGGTGACAATTGTCGCGGAGCCGCTTCGGTGATAGGCAATATTGCGAATAAGGGGCGAACGTGCACATCCGACGGCGACCGCGTTGGCAAGCGCAATTCCTATGGCTAGGGGAAGAGCTGCGGACTTCGATGGAGGCCGCGCTGACATGCGTGCTTCATCCTCCAGAAGCCGGTGGAATGATTCGAGCTCATGGGGCACCAGCGGAGATAGCGGTGAAACTACTTGCGGATGGTCGAGCGACAGTCGTCAGCATAACCGTCCTGATCGCACCGAGGGGGCATGGAGTTCGGGGAGGAATCCGTGGACTGACCGCTTCTGGAATGCGAGTTCGAATGGCGGCAGGAAAGGCAGCTCACGGTGAACGAGGTCGGCTCTTGAGCATGTGTCGGCAGGATGCGCCCGCGGGCCTGTCTTAGGAATTTCGGGGTTCCTTCGAGCAACCGAGTTTTCACTTCTGCAGCAGGAGTAAGTGCTACGCGGGCGGGTGGCGTTGTAAAGCTGCTTTTTGGGCTTGGACGCCCCCTGACGGAGTGCACCGAAGGCATGCGCGTTGGGCGAAGTAGCTTCGGAGCCTTCCGCGTGGGGAGTCGTTGCCATCGCTCGCTCCGCCTCGCATTAAAGCATCCATCCTCGCGCCCTTGCGCGCGTATGGCTCGAAGTAAGCTGTGAAGATAGTTTGAAATGGGCGTGGCCGCGCATAGGCAGGAAAAGGTGTGCTCGTCATATCTATTGCGCTTTCATCACATATACTCTTTTCTTGCTCACCGGATAATCATCGTCACATTGTGCGAAATCGTCAGGGGGTCATCCATCTAAAACGTCCATACGAGAAAAAAACAAAAAAAATCCCGTGAGCTAGGAGAGGAGAGCAAGGAACACTCGAATGTCAGGGAACGCCGAGCCACTGATTGGATATATTTTTCCCGTGTAAGCAGCATCTATTGATCAAAAGGGTGGGTCGCGGGTGGGTTGCAAAGTGGGTGGGTCGCAGCGTGTGTCGCGGGGTGGGTCGCGGGAAGGCCGCGGGCAGGTCGGGGGCGAGGACGACTACAACAACAATGCAACGCAACAACCATCACAACCCGCACCGCGGATCCTCACTTCACCCACGAATCCACGGACAGTGAATGACCGCTCGGCCCCTACATTCTGAAAGAAAATGCCCCTTCGTGGTTTTCGCTTCATGACCCGAGGGGTCCAGCGCCGACCCGAAAAATCCGCGCGGATCCCGGAATTCCGTATGTTTGTCATCTGCATGTTTCTTCTGAAACCCGTGTTACACGGTCATTTGGCCGCTGCGGCTGGGAGGGCAGGTGGTGGCGTGTGTCGGCCGACTGGCGCAGTTGGAGACGGTACAGTCGAGAAGTTGGCGCCAGGTGGCGGCTGCTTGACTGTAGCATATTTTTTTTCGGGCGAGGAATCGGGAGCACCTGTCCTAGGACGGCAGGGACATGTATGCCCCCCAAACCGCCATCGTCAAGAGGCGCATCAGCATCCTAGCCGTCCTGGGGCAGGTGTGCCCAGTGGCGGGACAATTTGTGTTACTCCGCTCTTCGCCCGCTCAGTACAGTCAATGATCGGTCGGCGTGCCCTGGCTTTTTCCCCGCTCCTTTGGCACGTCGTGCGTCCACGCGCCCACGGGCAAAAATATATTACCTGGTGGCCGTGTCTCAGAACGGCCCCACTGCTTTGAGAATTTGGGCGGCAACGCAGGTCTCGACCAGACGCAAGAGGAACCCTGCGCCAGCGTGACCTTGGGTGCGAACCCCTGGTCCCCCGCTCGCGGAATGCGATGCGATGGCAGCGACTTGTGCGATTGGGTTGGGCGGGGCGGCGGCCGCGGCCGGGCAGGCGGCAGAGGCGGGGGAGGAGGGAGGAGCGGCTTCGCGGAAGTCTTCTCCTTCTCTTCCTCCTCCTCCTCCTCTTCATCCTCTTCCTTTTCCTCCTCCTCCTCCTCCTCACCTGCCAGCCGCGTTCCGCAGGTCGCGCTTGCTTGGCGCAGGGCCACCCCTTGCGCTCCCGGCCGAGCGTCCGCTTCTGCTGCCCTTCTGGGGACTGAGCCAGCTCTCCTGGCTCGCCCGAGCAGCGGGATCTGACGTGGCAGCTAGGCCCTGCGCCCGCGAGTGCCTCGGCGGGGACAGTCTCGCCCCACAACCATCGCAATCAAGGATCCCGGTCATAGCCTATGCATAACCTACGGAATGTCGCTATAGGCCTATGCATAGGCTACGCATGGACTTACAGTAGGTCTATCTATAGGCTACCGATAGGCCTACCATAGACCTATACGTAGACTTTTGGGAGGACCACGGTAGGCCTGTGGCAGGCCATGGCCAGGTCTACAGCAAGCCTGTGGTTGACCTGCGGCAGGCCTATGGTAGGACTACGGTAGGCCTATGCCCTTCGGGGACAGGTGAGCCTCCCCCCCCCCTTTTCGCCCTGCCGCTCCCCTCTAGGTCCTCACCCGTCCCTGGGCCGGGATGTAGTTCCTGGGAGGTAACATGCTGCATTGGCGCTGGGTTATTTTCGCAATGGATAACCGGCTTCATCTGGGTTCTTCTTGGCATAATCCAGATTCATCCCGTTTAATCCTGAGCAGTCCGGCATACCCCCGCTTAGTCCTGGGCTTAATCTGGCCGGGTTCGTTGCAGATGCCTCTTAATCGGGTTTAAGATCCCTTCGTAGTTCTGACGAAGACCTCCCAGGAGTTGCCTCCTGTCTTAAGCCTCTGCCCTCCTCGAGCCAGCCTCGATCCTCGACCCACCGCGATCCTCGATCGGGGATGCGTGAATGAGGCTCGAGGTCGCCGGAGCTTGGGGTTGCCGACGCTTTTCGGTGGGCATTTTGACGGTCCGTTTTTGTTGTTGTGGGATGTGCAAGCCGGGAGTTCGCGTCAGATTTCAGATTGGGTCTCGTCGTTTTCCTCGCGGCCCCGTTTCTCAAGTTTTGTGGTATACCACGCCCTCCCCGCCCAAGTCAGATTCCACTGCCGTGGGCCACGATCAGTTTACAAAAACCATGCGTCAGGGAGGGCATCTTGCATTCCATAGCCACGACAGGACCCTCGCCCCCCCCCCCCCCCAGGGCTTTTTTGGTATAGTGTATCTTCTTGTTGGGCGCACCCGTCAGGCCCACCCGAGTCCCCCGAGCCTCACTCTGAGGCTCCCAGATGGAGTCAGAGTAGATGGAATCGGAGGGTCACGCCGCATCGGCGATGCATCGGCGACGCGGCTCGATGTTGAGCCCGATGTTCTCCACGCCGACGGTGCCGATGCGTCGTCGATGCATCGACGATGCATCGTTGATGCATCGGCGATGCGGCGCCATCCTCCCGCCGCATCTTCGGCGGCGAGCCCCGGGGGGGGAAGTGAGAAGGGGCGGGCGTTTCAGAAGGCTAGAGGGTCCCCCGGCATTCTGAGAAAGGGTCGAAGCCTTCCCCGAAGACGCAGAAACCACTCTCTCAGAAGCCCCGCCGCCTTCTGTGCAGGCCTTCTCCTCCTCACTTCCCCCCCGCGCTCGCCACCGACTGTTGGGGGGAGGTCAACATGTGTCGATACTGCTACTCCCCGGACCTCTCCCGGGGTGCGTTCTGACTGGAATTTCGAGGCGAATCCAGCGGTGGCGACGAGGGCCGGCCAGGGGCCCTAAAGAAGGAAGAAGACAGAAGGGTAGCAGCATGGCCTCAGTATGGGTACCTGTTCTTCCTCCGATGGTGTGCCCGGACGACGGCTCCAACTCTCTGGGCCTCCAAGGGGCACCTGGAGGCCTCGTCGTCGCTGCCGACATATCCCGACCCCACCTGTAAGCATCTTTTGAATTATCATGTCTTAATTTCTGTCAAACAAGAAATAGATTCAGGTAAGTTCACTTGCATGACGTTCGCCCTCGCCCCCCCCTCACCCCTCTTCTAACGAACACTAGCGTGCAAGTGCCCTTTCGACTTGCGTGATTTCCGCACGTGCAAGTCGTGTACGGCTTGCTTCAGGTTCAGGCCCCCCCCCCGCCAATGCATGTAAACGTTCCCGAGCTGTTGTTCCCAACCATCCTGTGGTGTTGGGTCTTCGTTTTGAAGAGACGGTCCCCGCGTTCCTCCTCTCCTCCTCTCTCCTCCTCCCCCTCCTCCCTCCTTCCACTCCTCGCCTACGTCGTCCGTATGTCTTTGTTTCGGCACGCCCCTTACACGTTTCGTGGCCCCATAGGGAGCTCCACCGAAGGCCCCAGTGGCTGCGCTCGCATGACACCACCGCACCCACTTCGGCACACCTCTAACACGTTCCGCCCCATGGGGAGCTCCACCGAAGGCTCCAGTGGCTGCGCTCGCATGCCACCACCGCACCCACTTCGGCATACCTCTTACACGTTTCGTGGCCCCATAGGGAGCTCCACCGAAGTTTCCAGTGGCTGCGCTCGCATGACACCACCGCACTCATGTCGGCACACCCCTCACACGTTTCGTGGCCCCATGGGGAGCTCCACCGAAGGCTCCAGTGGCTGCGCTCGCAGGACACCACCGCCCCCATGTTGGCACACCCCTCACACGTTTCGCGGCCCCATCGGGAGCTCCACCGAAGGCCCCAGTGGCTGCGCTCGCATGACACCACCGCGCCCATGCTGGCACACCCCTCACACGTTCCGTGGCCCCGTGGGGGGCTCCACCGAAGGCCCCAGTGGCTGCGCTCGCATGACACCACCGCACCCATTTCGGCATACCTCTAACACATTTCGTGGCTTCATAGGGAGCTTCACCGCAGGTTCCAGTGGCTGCGCTCGCATGACACCACCGCACCCACTTCGGCACACCTCTAACACGTTTCGCGGCCCCATCGGGAGCTCCACCGAAGGCCCCAGTGGCTGCGCTCGCATGACACCACCGCACCTCTTTCGGTACACCACTCACACGTTTCGTGGCCCCATGGGGAGCTCCACCGAAGGCCCCAGTGGCTGCGCTCGCAGGACACCACCGCACCCATGTTGGCACACCCCTCACACGTTTCGTGCCCCATATGGAGCTCCACCGAAGACGATACCAACAATCGCAACACTCACAACTGCATATGGTCGGGTCCTTCGCAATGATTATGTTTTATGTTTCTGCTTTCAATGCGTCCCTTGGTCCCCGCCTTGTCTGCGCACATGCCTCGGGCCATGATTTGCTTTCTCCCCTCCTCTTGGACGCTCCCATCTTGGCCTCTCCTCTTGTCCTCCCTCGAGGGCTGATGATTCTTAGTTGTTGGATCGCTCGCAAAACGCAGGGTCGTGAGGCCATCCGCTCGCTGGCCTCCGTCCTGCCGATACCGATCACACACCGAAGTGTTTTGTTGGCAGTGCAGGACTTGTTGATCTTGGGTCTCTGGGCAGGTTGGCCAGGCATCTTGTTGAGCATAGCCAGATGGTAGATATTTAAATGGCACGATGACTGATCGGAGTTTCTGCGTACGTGCACATACGTATATAAGTGACTGAAGGTCCGCGCGGATTGCTTGCATCAGCATTTTACCCCTTTCCCTGGTGAGCGGAGCGCGCCAGAGATGGCGCGGGAAGCGCCGCCAGGCTGGTCCAGCGCAGATCCAGGAAATCCGCGCTGAGCGCCAACAGTTTATGTTTATATGGTTGTGTTTTCTTCTGTGTCGGGCGTTTTCGTCTGTTCCCGCTGGTTTTCCTGCCTGGGCGCGCGTTCCAGCAGCCGCGCCCCGCCGAGGGCGCTCCGCGACGATGTTCATGCCGCTCGTCTTCCTCAAACCTTCTCTTCCTGGTTCTCCCCGCTCTCCTCCGGCTTCTGGGCAGAGTCTTCCAGCTCGTGGCCCTCCCAGAGCTCCTTGAGAGGTCTGTTCCTGCGACGCCTCCCCCTCCTCCTCCTTCTCCTCCAGGATCCTCGGAGCCCAGGGTGTCTGGTACTCCGAGACAGCTTCTGCATGTTATATGGGAGTTGAAGCCCGATGTATGGGTACGAGATATGTCGTCGACCTGGCCGACTAGATTGTGCGGCTGCCGAAGCGGGCCCGTATACTGTGATGTCACACTCTTCCGCAACACGGGAAGGGCGCTTTGCATAACACCCCTCTTTCCCTGAACTTCTCCTCTTGATTCCCCTCCTCTGTGCTTCTACTCCCATTCGGATGCAACTCCTGGGGGGTCAAATTCTAACCCTGCCCTGGTCCGACATCGGGCTTAATCCGGCTCAATCCCGTTTAATCCCGCTCAATCCGGTTCAATCCCGCGTAATCCGCGGCCTCATCCGTCGCAGCTGCCCGCCAATGGGGCCGAATCCTCTGCAGTCCTTCCGACGAAGACCTCCTATCAGTTGCCTCCGAACCTGCAGCCAAGCCGCATGGCAAGGACTTGCAACCTTCCCCAGGGTACCCTTGCATCCTGGCCTCCTCGGTCCATCCCTGGCCACTTCCCCTGGCCGCGCCCCGCCCGAGAAGCTCCGACATGGCCTCCCAAGGCCCCTGCATCCTCACCGTGCGTCCTTCTGACACGGGCTGGCTCTACTCGCGCCGCCGACGCCGGCGGCCCCCGGCGGTCCTTGGGCGTGGCCGCGCCCGCGCCGCAGGCCCGACCGGCGCCCTGTTTGCCGAGCTGTCGCAGCAGCTTCCCAGGCTCGGGGAGGCCCGCGCGGCCGCCGCCGGGTGGTCGGTTCGTGTCGTCCTCGCCGCCGCCGTCGGCCTGGGTGCGCCCATCCTCCGCCTCTGCCACCTCCTCATGATCCTCCTCGGTATCTTCATGATCCTCATCCCCCTCCCCCTCCTCCTCCTCCTCCTCCTCCTCCTCCTCCTCCTCCTCCTCCTCCTCCTCCTCCTCCTCCTCCTCCTCCTCCCTCTTGGAGGCTTCTTGTGCCGTTTTGGAGCCTCTCGGGCCGTCGACGGCCATCGGCAGTTCGAAAAGGCGCGGTCCCCACCCAAAGTCGCCCCCCCCCAAACAGAAGCAAAACGAATCTTGTCGGCGTCTTCGGGGCCTTTCGAAGCTCTCTTGGAAGCCTCCTGGTGTGCCATGGGCGCTTTCTTGGGCCGCCTTGGGCCCAACTTGGGTCATCTTGGAACGCTTCTGGCCCGAGGCCGTGGGGCGTGCCACCACCCTCTTGGCGCCGCGCACGGGAGCGCTCGGTGGGGCACCGAGGCCGCGCCCAGGAGCTCCGGCATCTCGGACCCGGCCCTGCTGGGACCCTGCCAGGACCTGGCTGTTTTTTTTTTTTTTTCGTCGGGGGACCCCTCCTCCTCCTCCTCCTTCTCCTCCTCCCCCTCCTCCTCCTCCTCCTCCTCCTCCTCCTCCTCGTCCTCCTCCTCCTCCTCCTCCTCCTCCTCCTCCTCCTCCTCCTCCTCCCCCGTTAGGGGCCGCCTTCGCGCGCGCGAACTGGAGCCATTCTAAGCAGAAAACCTTACCGTGGATGTTCGCACGCATCTGGCCCGTTGGGCCGGCGAGTTCAGGATGAAACGCCGGTCCTCGGGAATGGGTCGAGACCTCCGGGGACCCCGTTCGAGAAAAACAACACGTCGGATCTCAGGGGACCATGCCGTTTCGATCAATCCCATGGCCGGTTCGATTCGATTCGATTCGGACATTCAGACGCTTCGATGCGGCCCGACGTTTACACGGCGTTGCTGTGCGTCCCGGCACAGCCGAGCCGCGTCGCGTACGACTCCGCGGATGCGCTGCCCGACACGTTTCGATTCGATCCGAGTTCCTGATTCGGTGCTGTCTGATCTTGCCCTTCCTCTTGGGCCTGGATCGCCATCTCGGCCGCCGGTTCTTTTCAGAGCTCTCGGGCCCGAGGCCCGCCGTCTGCAGAGGTCGAGCAGTCGGAGCGGGGGCTCGAAGCACACGCTGCCTGGCCAGCCGGTGGGGCCAAGGAGCTCGGCGGAGGAGTTTGGAGTAGTGGCGCTCCAGCACCCCTCAGCCTGGGAAGCCCGGGCGCCTCTGCTATGCCTGATATATATATATATATACACACAAACACACACACATATATATATATATATATATATACAGGCAAGACTGCATTGGCGCTTCGCGCCATGCGCCTTGGTCCTTGAAGTCTAGCCTGCAGGCGGAATGGCAGGAAAGTCAGGCCGACAATTTAGCGATAACTTTTTATTGCCTCGGCATCGCCGTCCAGATTTCTTTATTATTCCTCCATGCTTCCTTTTCATCGTTCTCGCCATACACTTCGTATTCCCCCCATCCTCCTCAGCTCTTTTTGCGGAGGTTCCTCCTTGGATAGCCTCCCGGGCTTCACAAAAGCCTTCTAGAGGCCTCCTGGGCGTCTTCTGGGGGCCTCTGGGGGCTTCCTACGACCACCCTGCCTCCAACCGCGGTCTCCCTGAGCGACCGGGTCACGATTAGGAACCATCTGGGCCCGTCACGGGACCATCTGGGCCCGTCACGGGGCTCTCTTAGGCAATTTTGGAACCTTTGTTGTGGCGTCTTGGGGCTCTCTTGGACTGCCTGGAAGCCCTTTCGGATGGTTGTGGGGCGATTTTCGAGCGTCCCAGGCGGCTTCGGACGCCCAACAGACCGCCGTTTTGGAGCGTCGGGAAGCCGAAAGAGGAGAACCCAAAAATCACCAAACACCAATAGAAAATCAATAAGTTTTGCCTCTTGGGGCCTTCTTGGGAGTTCTCTTGTAGGCCTCTTGGGACGTTTTGGAGCGATCTTTGGGGGTATGACGGCTTCTGGGGCCGTTTTTAGGCTCTCCTGGGTTTTTTACGGGTTGTCTGGAGGGTTGCCCGAGAAGCCCGGTGTGGGCCAAGTTCGTTAGGTGTGTGGAGGGCATTTTGTCCGGGGTCCCGGGCCCTATAAACGTTTATGAATATGTATATATCCGTAAGGGCTTCGCCCCACGCCGCCGGCCCCCTGTCTCGGATAATGGGAGATGCAAACGCTAAATCATGAGGTCTGGGCGCCGCCGTGAAACAGTGTCGGGACCTGTTTTTTTTTTTTTTTTTGTTGTTAACCCTGACCGTGCGGATCTGCGTCACGGGTGCCACCGAATTTCAGAAATGTTGCAAATCCCTAGTGTTTCTGGACCCTGACCCCGCCGATCAGCGTGAGGGGTGCCAGCAAATTTCAGAAATGTTGCAAATCCCTTGTGTTTTTGGACCCTGACCCTGCCGATCTGCGTGAGGGGTGCCAGCAAATTTTAGAAATGTGGCAAATCCCTTGTGTTTTTGGACCCTGACCCCGCCGATCTGCGTGAGGGGTGCTACCGAATTTGCGAAATGTGGCAAATCCCTTATGTTTTTGCACCCTGACCCCGCCGATTTGCGTGAGCGGTGCCAAAATGTGGTAAATCCTTAGTGTTTTTGTACCCTGACCCTGCCGATCTGCGTGAGGGGTGCCACCGAATTTCAGAAAGGTGGCAAATCCCGTGTGTTTTTGGATCCTGACCCCGCCTATCTGCGTGAGGGATGTCAATTTTTACCCACCCCAGCAATTCAGAGCATACGCTCAGGGCGTGGTAGAAATTCCCGTTTTTGGCCTCCCCCCTCGCGCGGTCCATCAACAAGGAACAGTAGGCAGCAAGAAACATAATTGTAACAAGGAGCAGTAAGCAGCAAGAAGCAAAACTGTAACAGTGGAAACTGGAAGCTGCAACTGGTACAGGAAACTGCGAAGCTTCGGCCTACAGCCTGGTGGCCCCACAAGGGGGCCGTCGGATATATATATATATATATATATATATATATTCAGACACCCTTTGATCTATTGTTTCTGGGCCTCAGGGGTGGGCAGCGGTCTATAGATTACTACTGAGAGCCCGCGACTTGGTACACACCCTGGCCCTCCCTGAAGGTGCATGCAGAGTTTGTCGGAGGGCGTCTGCGTACGTATTTTCGCGGTGTATCTGCGCACCGAGCTTCCCGGCCGACTTGGCCACGCGGTGCACGGTAGGCACATCAAGCAAGAGGAACAGCGGCCTGCAGGCGGGTGCCCCACAGAAGTGTATTGTCCCCCAGTGGAGCCCCAGGGGCCACAGCAGCACTGGGGCACCTGAGGACGCCCCAAAGGTCGACGAAAATTGTGATACACAGGATTCTCATGGCAATTCTTGAATTGGGCATGTCCCCCGGCGGAAGGTATATACAACAAAAAGTAAAACAATTGTATGGGAACGATTTGTTTTAGCATTTTGATCGTTTGGGGGCATTATGTGACCATTCTGATTTTCGTCCAAAATCCCACCTGTAGGGGGACATGCCCGACCGAAAGCCATACTTCGACGTCGTCGCAGGTGTCTCCTGCATGCACGCCGAGCTCTCCGGACTCGGGCCGTTCTCCCGGGCCGTCTCGGGCGAGCGGGGCCTCCGAGGTCCCGAGGCCGTTCGGCAACGGACCGCGCGGCGAGGTCTCCGAGGATGTCCAGGTCACCGCGCGGTCTGCCACCTCACGGTCTTCGGACACCAAAAATTCGACCACACATAAGAGTGACCCTTCGCCAGAGTGACTTTTGGTGCAGGCCAGTGGGGTCCCCCCCGATCGCCGATCGCGGTGCGGCAGTGGCGTCTTGCGCGCCTGTGTTTGGTCCCCCCGCGGCCCCCCAAGAAGCGGCGCACCAGGGGGCATTTTTACCCAGGGTCAATCCTGCGTGTAGTCGAAAAGTCAGGACTGAAACATCCACCCGGAGAGAACGACCCTCGGAGAACATGTCGACGTACGGCTGCAGTTGTTCGTCGGCCGCGCCAGTGTCCTTGTTTATCAAAGAACCCGCTCAGGTCTAGGCCTCCCAGGTGGGGGTCAGAGGATCGCGCCACATCGCCGATGCATCGGCGATGCGGCTCGATGTGGAACCCGATCTTCTCCACGCTGGCGTCCCCGCGAGTCGCCGATGCACCGCCGACGTCGCCGATGCATCGTCGGTGCATCGGTGATGCGGCGTGATCCTCCGACCCCGTCAACTCCGACCCCACCTGGGAGGCCTCCACGAGAGGGCCCTGACACTTCGAGCGGCGGGCGTACCCGTGTCCGCGGCCTCGCAGGCCAGGCACTCCCAGCCGCGACCCCGCGGATACGGAACGTCTTGTCGCGGATGCCCCGCGCGGAGTGTACCCGTGCGACCGCGCGGCCGCGGGATCGCGCCCCAGAATCCAGACCGCGAGGGCGCGGATACGGATGTGTCTCGGTATCGTTTAACCGATCTCCATCCCTATTTCCAGCCACTTCGAGACCCCCACCAAATTACCACCCCAGTTGGGATACACCCCTCGAAACCCGAAGTCAACGACCTATATCCCCATCCAGGGGGGTAAATCGGCCACCGGGGCCCAGGCCACGCCGCTGGGGATGGGGATCGGTTAAACGAAATTCAGTGTTCGCCGCTCGTGAGACGCTTCGAGCCCCTCCCAGACCACAGCGACGGGCCGGTCAGGGGCACCGGGGGGGGGGGGGCAGGCGCGGGGGGGGAACTCATCGACCCCTAGCCGCCCAGTCCTCGCCGATTGCGGGCCCCATGGCCCGCCCCGCTCAGGAACGCGTGGAGTCGCCATCAGGGGCCCCTCGCCGATCTACTCCTGCTCCTCCTCCTCCTCCTGCTCTTCCTCCTCCTCCTGCTCTTCCTCCTCCTCCTCCTCCTCCTCCTCCTCCTCCTCCTCCTCCCTATCCTCCCTATCCTCCCTATCCTCCCTCTCCTCCTCCTCCTCAGGTCCTCCTCCTCCTCCTCCTCCTCTCTCCTCCTCTCCTCCTCCTCCTTCCTCCTCCTCCTCCTCCTCCTCCTCCTCCTCCTCCTCCTCCTCCTCCTCCTCCCCTCCCTCCTCCTCCTCCTCCTCCCCTCCTCCTCCTTTTTCCTCCTCCTTCTCCTCCCCTCCTCCCCCTTTCCTCCCTCCCTCCCCCCTCCCTATGGAGGAGGAGGAGGAGGAGGAGGAGGAAGAGCAGGAGGAGGAGGAAGAGCAGGAGGAGGAGGAGGAGGAGGAGGAGGAGGAGGAGGAGGAGGAGGAGGAGTCGAATGGTCTTCATGCCTTGTGTCCGAGTTCGACGTGGAAGCACGCCTGTCGCAGTCGTCGCTCTGGGCCGGGAGACGGGGTTGCCCCGGGGCGGCTGCCGGGGGCCACGCGCCGTGCGGAGCCATGGGCCAGGGCGCCTCCGGGAGCGCACCCGCCGCGGTTGTGCCCACGACGACGGAGCTGAGGCGGGCGCGGCCGCGGCCGAAGGAGAACAACAGATACTCCGAGTTTCTTACCAAGCGTCGGGGGGGCGTCACCCCCGCCGACAGACCCACATCGACCCCCGTCGCGGGCAGCCACCGCGCGCCGAAGGCGCTCCCACCCCCGTCGCGGCGCGACCACGAGGCGAGGCTGACCCCCCGTCGGGGAGGGACCCCCCACGCTTAGTTTAAGAAGCCCAGGGTAGGTAGACCTCAAGGGCTTGCAAGGTGTTCGGACGCCTCCGTTGCTCCTCGGCGGTCTTTCAGCCTCGGGATGCCTGGCAGCGGCTGCTCCCCGCCGAGAGCGTTTCGGGGGTGCCCAGACCGTCCCACCGCGCGGTCTCAGAGGAGGAGCTGGTGCCGATGCGGCTGCCCCTCCTTCGTCTTCGCCGTGTTGGTCCTCCCCATGGGGCCCTCGCCGCCACGGCCGCATCCGCCTCGAAATCCCGGTCAGGACGCCCCGGGAGAGGTCCGGGGAGTAGCGGTTATCGGCACTGGTTGGTT